TTCTTTAATTTTACATCGGCAGCTCCAAAAAAATTAACTTTTTACAAATACACAGCTTAAACTTGCGCAAAGAAGAGAACCTTTGTTTTGACACTATTCTGTTTGTAAATGATTGAAGTGTAATAAACATAATATCCCCTGTTTCACCTAACCATGTGTTCTCCAAGTGGAAGGGGAGAGGTGGGAATGTTTATTTTGAGCAGTCATTGTATGAAAAAAATTCTAAATTGATTTTTTTTTTCCTGATAATTGCTTACGTTAGGGGAAAGGCTCCATGAAAGGTGAATTTAAATGGGATCAGTAACGATTGAAATCGGATTTTCAATGCAGCCGATCGCATGGGCCAGTGGGCAATTAAAATTTAGAACCGAGTTTTGGTAAATACGCGATGTGATTTGTTCGATTTTGATCTGAATATTACGAACAAACAATATGTTCTTAAAGTGGGAGGGGGGAGTGGGAAGGAGGAGGTTGGAATTTGTTGATTTTGCTATTCTTGTTAACTTCAAATTTCTTTTCGACTGGCTGAGTTTTGAACTCTCCATCTTTCGGTAAATTGCGTCTCTCTGAACCCTTTTTGAAGCTAGTGGGATTAATAAAATTTTAATAGAAACTGAATCCCACTCCCACTAATAACAATGGCGATGGGATTTCTATTAAAATTTGAAACGGGGTCTTGGCAAATATGCCAGTTGGGATATAGGATTTGGATCCTGCCATTATGAGCTGTAAACTGGCCCCTCTGCAACGCATGGACTTAAGGGCAATTAAAATTTGAAACCAAGATTTAGTAAGTACGTGAGCTGAGATATTGGATTTGAGTCCCAACATTACAAATTGCTATAGTTTACACGTGTGACTGGGTCTGTATAAGCTTCTTAAAAATAAGTCTCATGGGATAAGCAATAAATGTTGTTTACTTACAGTTCAATCAACTTGGTGTTGTAGCTGAAGACTCCACGTGGTAGCTCTGCTATCTGATTGTCATGTAAATACCTACGTAAACGATATTAAGAAAGACAATAAAGCAAATTAATCATCTCATGAAGTTTTAAGACTTACAGAGTTTGCAAAGTACATCTGTAGGAATAGAAATTAACTCTTGACTTCTTTCCAGACTCCTCTTCTACTAGGGAGACCCTTGGAATTTCGGCCAAATCCTTTGAGACCTTAGTTACCGGTCATCATTTATCGCTTAAGTGGCCGGAAGGGAAGAGTCAGAGGATTTGGTTTAAAATTGCAGCTCGCCTGCGAGAATGATGCCTTTCTTTAAATTTACATCGGCAGCTCCAAAGAAATTAATTTTTTTTAAAAAAATACACAGCCTAAACTTGCGCAAAGAAGAGAACCTTAATTTTGACATAATACTGTTTGTAGATGATTCAAGTTTAATAAACAAAATATCTCTTTTTGACCTAACAGTGTGTTCTCTAAGTGGGAGGGGGGAGGTGGGAATGTTCATTTTGAACATTCATTTTATGGAAAAAAGTCCGAATTGATTATTTTTTCCTGATGATTGCTTGCGTTAGGGAAAGGCTTTGTGAAAGGTGAATTTTAACACGAAGGCGCGTTACAAATAGGTTGGCTCCTCCCCTTTGTTTCAGCTCAAATGCAAAAATCATCCAATATGGCGACCAACGTTCCCACCATAAGTGAAACGGTCTGCATAGAAGACACACTTTAAGTGTTTTTTTGTGTCAATCAATTAGAAGATATTGCGTCTTGTTGACTCTCATTCCCATAATTGAGCTCATTTTGATATTAATTGGCACTAATTTATCGTTCGGCCGCTCAAAGCGCTATCTGCGGTCGACAAGACACTCGCACAGTTGTCTTTTCAAAATTCGCGCCGTGTAACTTCGGCTTATGTCCCAAGCCCCTAATACAAACTGGTTCTTCGAGCCTTCAGATTATTCCCATTGAAACTAGCGGATTCATGACTCATTCTATGCGCAATGCTCAGACTATTATTATCTGTGACAATTCTGTGACAAGACCTCTGAAGTATGGACGATTTCACAAGTAAGTGCCATTTTGAGACAGAATTTCACAACTCTAGTTCAGTTTGGGGAAAAGTCTTGGCTGTCGCTACTCGAAAGATATATTTATTGGGAAATTTATTCGTTATGGCTGAGGGAAATAATCCATCTGTACCCAAGAAAAAGCGTCCAACGGATCGAGGTCCTCAGTTCTCGTTCAACATAGAAGTTCCTCGAACTCAGGAGAGCAGACTTCTCGGCATCAAAGACCGCATAAAGATGGCCAAAGGCTCGTTGAATCTTACAAAAGCGACGACAAGCACACAGAATGCAGATTTGATGGAAGCTCTTCTGTTAGCTCTTGAGGAGAAAATTGAGAGGAAACGACTGACATCGAGCGACTGAGCTTCTCATCAACGGGAAGTCCGAACCCATCTCTTCTTTCTACACCATCCATAACTGCACGGTTTTCAATTCTTTCAGCTTTTTCCACTCCATCTTTGCGTATTTCTTTGCCTTTTGCTGATCCTTTTTCTCCAATTTCTCCTCCACAAGCAGAACGTACGTCACAAAGAATGCAAATCACTGCATCTTCAGTAGAGAACGACTCCATATATCTCTGCAGTAAAGAATCTCTGCGAACTCTGTTTTTTTTTCTCTAATACGCTAACGACATCATGTTGTTATTGTGGAAAAACCCTTCGATTGCGAGTCACTTGTCTTCAATCGACAGAGTCGTGTAGTGTCGGTGACAATTTCATGTGTTGGTGGAGATTCTTTCAAGTGGCTCTCCTCCCCTATCATGGGAGTATCTCCTCTAAAGTACTATGTAAATTTGAGGTGAGCACTCTTATATTTTTTGCTCGAAATTTACAGAAATTTGTTATCTCGGTATTTTACAGTTTTTGTTTTTTGTAACTGGTCACTTCTCTGTCTCTCTTTCATAGATTGATTCATGGAGTATTGTCCTGTGGCTTGACAGAGACAGAATACACAAGTTTCTGTCAAGCAGCCAACATCGGGTCAGAGGGAGAAAAGACCTCCGACACAGGTTAGCAATGCACATGCGCAGATGCTCTGAAAATCATGTAGTCTTTCTCCTTGCAAGGAGAAGGCAGTCAACAGCAGTTTGCAGGTTGCTAAATCATGAATGTTCTACCAAGATAGCTCAAACTGACTGAACTGTTCCTTCTTTGGTTTGTGCCTTACCAGATGCAATTCTAAAATACTTCTATTTTTAATCACTTCTACAGTCTTGAAAAAGCTCAGTTACTTGACAGTCATGAAGAGGGTCTCCAATGAGTCGATGTTGGCTACTCAAGAACAAGTGAAGAGTAACCCTGCATGTGCTGTGAATGGAGAGGTACAAGCTGTCATTTTAATTTCATTTTGTCTTTGGCCACATACTTATACAACTGCCATACTCGGAATATATTATGTAGACTAGCACATACAAAAATATAAAATCTTATATCAGATTGTAAACCTTGAAAATATCTGTGAGTAGAGAAATGTGACCATTTTTATGTTTTGATTTCTACCATTTCTTCCTGCAGTGAGTTATAACAGATGCAAGGCATGATTCCAGTCGATCAACAGCACACACAACAGTGTCAGCCCTTTCTTTCTGGGAAGATGGTTTCTACTTGATCTCTTTGTATGTGTTGAACCTCTGGTATGTTCAACACAAGGTGTTAGCAGTTGTCAACTGGAGTAGGGCCAATGAAACTTCAGCAGTAAGCTGTGAGGTCCCTATGACAAAAGAGCTGCTGACTTATCTCTTTGAGACACAAGGTATGATAAATTTGCATCCTCAATAATATCATATCGCATATGTAATACAAATATGGAGGTATTAATAATGCAGCTTTTTACATTGTAATTAATTTTAAGAAGTTTATCTCTTCTTCCAAATTAATGATGTTGATGTAAGGGCCATAAATGAGTTGAACAAATTCATTTTCCAGTTAAAGAAAAATCACCCATAATTTGTTGCCTTCTTCAGTGCAGGGAAACATATTGGATTGAGTCTCTCTATTCAGTGATGCTCATTTATGCTGCAAAGCGGATTCATCATGGGGATGACACATACAACATGTGCATGGAGTTAGCCATTCTTGATTGGGTAAGAAACTTATGTTGTTAATTCTGCTCAATTACTTTGGCACTTTTTGGATTCACTGCCTTCTCTTGCTCATTGACTCATTTGTCTTACAGAATGAAAATGTGAATCGAGAAGCATCGTCTCTCCAGATGTACCAACATACCAGGCATCCAAACCGCTTGGCAGAGACCAGGGTGCTTACTTCAAAGACATTTAATTTCAGAGAAACTATCTGGTCTACCTTTTTTAATATAAACAAATGATGTCTCTTCTGTTTTCCATTGCACCACAGTTTCTGTGATAATTACAACTAGGAGCCCAAATGTTCAGTATTAATATGTGAGGTCATTAGGGAGGACCAATTCTAACAACTGCTGGTACCAAGCAATGAAAACATGAATATTAGGTTTGACACAAGGTATTTCCAAGCAGACTCATTCTCTGTTTCCTCCTGTTACTTTTCTTTGCACTGTATATCTTTTCCTAACCTATAGGAAAGTCACTATAATTTGCTGTGTGGACATTGTAAAATGGACCATAAAAAAAAAAAAAATTGGGTACTTGGGCTCTCTTTGAGGTGAGCATTTGTATGAGAATTTTATTATTCCCTTTTATGCCCCATGTAGGCAATACCAGGAGGGTTAGGAAACCTTGACCTCACATTTTTTTATAACACAATTGGACATCCTTTCCCGCACTACATTAACGTGGTCCCCCAGTTCGACTTTTCTAGCCTGGTAAACAGGGTCTTTCCAGAGCCCACATTTGTTCAATGCTCTCCAGTACGTCTTCTAATCTTTTCTACGTCGCACGTGATTTTGAATGTGTGCTTCACGATAGCCAAGGTATTCGCGACTGTCGGTCGTTACACATGGCGTTTGCCAACAGTAAATACACATTTCGAACTCGTCCCCTCTTGCATCAGCTATTGTGGAGACAAGGTGAAATAACTGTTAGAGCGAAAGCGCAACTGAACGGTCATGAAGTCTGATATGATCGTACAACTAGTCTTCCCGCCTACATTTTATTTTGGACAATTTTTATGTACATTTTTCATGTTTAATTGACACGTATGCCCATGGTGTAGCATAAAATATCGCAATAAATATAACTTGTAGTTCTAAAGAAATAACTCCTTTCAAAATATTCTTAGGCAGGACAAAACATTCTTAGGCGGGACAAAACATTCTTAGGCAGGACAAAACGTTTCGTAGGTGTCACGCAAGGCTGCATTTCGGAAAATGAAGGCATCAAAAGGAAGCAGTGTTAGACATGAACTGTCGCATCATACGAAAAAATCTGTGGTTTGCAAGTATATTCTAACTAGTATTTCCTAGTTCGAAAAAAAAATCTGCAATTAGTTACTTCTGGAAAATTATTGCGTTACGCGAGTGTTTCAATCTTGGTGATACATTATCACAGTGATTGTTGGTATCGAACTGTAGTCCTAAGTTACCTTTCTAATGTATTGTTCCAAAGGTTAAAGGTCATTCAGTACTTTTGTAATCATATTATACTTAGATTAAAAAAAAAAGAAAAAGAAATCGCACCATTTGTGGAGGAAGCCCGTACAGATGATTCATTTGGCGACATCGATGCCTGGACATGTCCAAGTGAATCGGTGGTTGGCGGCGGTTCACTCGCGCGCTCCAGAACTTCGCCTGCAATGGTCGCTCTGCTTTTATTTTTCTTCCGTTGGGTTAACAGCACTTCCCCTTCGCATTATTGAAGAAATGCCTTGAACATTTCTTCATCTTTTCTTTTTATTCTAACGGTCATCTACATCCAGTATTTAAGAACAGACATGAAATTACGCCATGGCAATTTTAGGCGACGGCGAAGCGAATCATTTCGAATTTCAAATTTACCGCCACAAATGAAGAAGGTTTCGATCGGAGGAAGGTAATACAAACCTCAAAAAATTCTTCCATTGTGATGAAAACGTAGAAATTTTTACCGAGAAATGCGCCTCTGGTCAGTGCCTTGCATTGGCTGCAGCTCAGGCTGTTTTGGAGTTCTGTATGCCACGACGGTTGATTGACAAATGATTCAGAGGTACCTAAGGCACCTCTCCTTTTATGGCGCGCCTTCGTGTAACGATTGAAATCGGATTTCTGGTTAATTATAAAACTGTGAATTGATAATAAAGGTAAACTTTTTCAGAATGTTTTGGGATTGATGTATTACTTCGGATTGGGTGATGATATGGTCGCAATTGGTGCGAGCTCAATGGATGGTAAGACAGCGAGCCTCCTGCCGAAGAAACAGCAGAAGAAGCGGATTGTGCCTGTTAGGCTAAAGTGGCAGGAAAAAGACAAAGCTTTGGCAGCTTTCCGTTCCTCCATGACTGGTAAGAAGAACCCGCAAAAAGTTCATGGGAGGAGTATGAAACTGATCTCTTTAAGGTTTATATCAAACCAGAAATATATGCCCAAACTGTCTACAGCACTTCACGACATCCAATAGGCGAGGCCCTAGGGCATTAATTGTCCAGCCCCTTGGAACTGGATGTGACCAAGGACCTAAACAAATCAATCATGGTGCAGTTAGACACTACCTCCACATGCAACACACCACCAGATAGAATTGCTCAATCGTTGATCCCTCTAGGGCAGACGAAAAAACCTATCTCACCCACAGCAAAGCACCCTTATATGCCTATGACAACTCTTAGCTGTGGTGAAGTTTTTCTTTGCTCGAAATTGATTTCTTTCGTATTATACGTTTTATTATTATCAAGCAAGTTGATATTTCGCTACCGCTAAAGTAGATGCGAATAATATACACAGGAAGAAATATCAAGAATCCGTGAACGGAAACGTGGAAGAAATATGTGAAAACCTTGCGGAAACACGATGCTCAACCACAGGCGGCCCAAGCTCCAGCTGTGAGATGATCATCTTACGCAATAACGGTCATGGCGGAATTATAAGAGTTTGTATAGGAATATTTACGAGCGCTCTAAGGAATAAAAAAATACGTCAAATTCTCAAAAAAAATACCTCACCTCGCTTCCACAGCGTATTACTTGTTATCTGACCGCTTAGTTGGATGAAAAGAGCCCATTTGAGCGAGTTGTTAATTTCGAGGTTTTCAACGTACATAAGAAAAGCCCAAGGCTGAACACTCCATTTCCGAACGCCTGATCCGAGAAGCGAAAAATCCAAGCTCAAAATGACCGGGCGGCCACAAATCCAACGCAGAATCCAAGCACATATACTGTAGTTTCATTTCAATTGACTACAAACTCAATCTTCCCCGTGCAACCAACGCTAAGCCGCAGTTTGCTTCAAAAATTTCTAGTTTAGAGGTTTCTAACAGCCCGCGACCACATCAACCTTGACACAAGACCGTTGAAACCCTACCTCCTTTTCAAACTGAGCCTCGCCGGGGACCACACCGTCAGTTATTATCAATAAATTGTTTTAGAACCATGGGTCCCCTCCGGTCGAAATCGATCAAGAGGCTATTGTTTCGATCGGCCAATCGAATTCGCCTTCGGAAATGTTTACAAATGTGTGATTATTTTCGTAGTCAGAGGAAAACCTGGCAAGGATTTATACCAGTATTCAATTTAGTTCTATCTGGACATACCTATTTTAATTCTGCCGACAAGACAACAGTTATTTCGCTTCGTCCGCACGAGAATGTGAGTCACAATAGAACAAGTCGCTCAGCCATGTAAGTATTCACTTTATTCTTAGTTGCCGGCTACGCTAAATTTCGCACTTCGTCTATGTGTTTCTTGCCAAGTGCCCTTGTAGATACTTATTTCTTTTACTTTAGGATAAAACAATAGCCTCTCGATCGATTTCGACCTGAGGGGACCCGTGGTTCTAAAACAATTTATTGATAATAACTGACGGTGTGGTCCCCGGCGAGGCTCAGTTTGAAAAGGAGGTAGGGTTTCAACGGTCGTGTGTCAAGGTTGATGTGGTCGCGGGCTGTTAGAAACCTCTAAACTAGAAATTTTTGAAGCAAACTGCGGCTTAGCGTTGGTTGCACGGGGAAGATTGAGTTTGTAGTCAATTGAAATGAAACTACAGTATGTGTGCTTGGATTCTGTGTTAGATTTGTGGCCGCTCGGTCATTTTGAGCTTGGATTTTTCGCCTCTCGGATCAGGCGTTCGGAAATGAAGTGTTCAGCCTTGGGCTTTTCTTATGTACGTTGAAAACCTCGAAATTAACAACTCGCTCAAATGGGCTCTTTTCATCAAAGTAAGCGGTCAGATAACAAGCAATACGCTGTGGAAGCGAGGTGAGGTATTTTTTTTGAGAATTTGACGTATTTTTTTATTCCTTAGAGCGCTCGTAAATATTCCTATACAAACTCTTATAATTCCGCCATGACCGTTATTGCGTAAGATGATCGTCTCACAGCTGGAGCTTGGGCCGCCTGTGGCTCAACACGCGTTTCCGCTGTCGGTTTGGTGACGTTTACTCGTGTTTCCGTTGCTGCGGTCACAGCGGAACCGTACCACTTTTTTACATGTTTCCGTCAGGTTTCAGTTGAAGGAAAACAACCAAATGTATCCGCAAGTGTAACTTCATGTTAACATGTGCGGAAACACATAGTAATGTGATGGAAACATGAATTTTTTTTATTTCCGTCGACGTCATCTTCCCTAAACGTTCACGGAAATACAAGGTCACGTTCCGGAAACACGTTTTTCTCTTGTTTCCGTAGACGTAATCAGAAAGAATGTCGACGGAAATACTGGGTTACTTTTCGGAAACAGATATTTGTCTTATTTCTGCTGACGAATTCAGATCTAGAGTGGACGGAAACACAAGATTTTGTTCCAGAAACACTTTTTTTTCTTGTTTCCTCTATATATCGGACTCTTTCAGCACTCCTTATTCGTGATCTTCCTTTTTCATTACAGGACAGGTAAATATGTTCTGATCGTGCGGTTTTATATAACCCCTACCAGACTTTTATACCGTCAGTTTGTGAAATCTATGCTCCACTATGTAAAATCACACATATACAAAAACTATATTTTCTTTACAGCTTCAATCAATTTATTTTATTCTTCTTCTTTTCTTCAATCGATCGACCGGTGACAATTTTTATTATATAAAAAGTACGTATATATTCGCTCGTCGTCCTTGTCATTTGAACATAACATACCTGAAATTCCTTACTTAACAAATGAACATCAAGAAAAACGTACAGCTGGTATGTATGAAATGTCAAATGTTCTGAAAATGTATAGAATTAGTCGCTGCGGACAGCCCGACGAGAGCCGTTAGTTGGGTGAGGGCGTGGTGATTCATCCTCGATCAGTCCGGTTGACACGTTGCTTCTCAGTCAGTAGCAGAAAGCGCTTTGGCATGGAATAATCAAACTAGTTGTGCGTGCGTACAGTGATGTATCTGATCAGGTATTTTCAGGGCATTAAGCTCGTAGATTATCAAATAAAACCCCTCGTTACATCACTTGGGTAGAACGTGCGCTATGATTAGTCCATTTAGCGCGCCGTATTTCACTGCATGGCCCACTAAATTCAAAAGTTTGTTTTGATCGCCAAGCGGCAAGTAGAGAAATACGACTATCTACGACGAACATAACTCGGGTCGTAAACCAGATTATTTCATTGCAGCCGAAAGGTCGTCGAATACTTTGAAAAGACAAAATACGAGTGCAAATAGTTTATAGGGTTTTTCGAACAGCAGGTTGCTGGAAATTCTAATGTAATAAGGGAAGGTACGTTTTTTCTTGGGGGGGGGGGGGAGGGCTGGGGAATTTTGGTATTTTTTCCAAAAGAAAGTGTTGGCCCTCCCTCATGTTTTGATTAAAAAACTCCTGATTCTGTTGAAGTCCTAAATGTAATAACTGTCCTAAATGTAATAAAGTCCTAAATGTAATAACATTTGGTCCTAAATGTAATAAAGTCCTTAATATAATAACATTTAGTCCTAAATGTAATAAGCCTCCAATGCAATCGTTGAACTCCTTCAGTGCATTGTTGTTATGGCGGACATCCACATTGAGATGTTAGTGACAGCTGTTGCACCAAAAAACCGCTGACCAGTATACATGTCACATTATGGGCTCGCTGATATCAATCAGCGTCTTTTTACTTGCTAGACATAAGAAATATCAGCAGTCGAAGTATGGTCCTTGAAGCGGTTTATTGATCGAGTTGAAGAAAATCATTTACAGCCCAAAGTGGGCTAGTGCTCGGCTGGAAGCTCAATAGGATGGAATTGATTGGTACGTAATCATTAAGACTTTTTGGAAAAGAAGTTGACTACAATTGATGATGAACTAGCATGCTATTGTTGATGTTATCGTTCGTGTTAAAGTTTTTAGTAGTGATGTACTATTTAGGAGCAGTTTGAATGATTTCGCTGTGTCACATGTTAATCCAACAGAAAATTATTATCATCAGTAGTGTTATTGAAATTTTGCACACAATGTTATTCAGTGTCAATTGATTTTAATGAAGCATTTGAGTTCATTTTTAAGAATGATTATCCTGATTTATTCAATTTTGAACCTGGGGTATTGCATTTCCAGCCCTCTATGGCTTTACTCCACCTCAGTAAGCAGTTCATGTACTATATGACTATAAGTGGAAACTGTTGAGCTTTTTTTTTTCATTCATCTATTTATCTATTCATTTTCTCCCCTCACGGCGGGAAGAAATGATGAAGACAAAAAAATGAAATATAAACTTGAGATCAACTATAAAATATATGTTTTCCCAATATTTCGGTTCGGGAACTGATGAACCCGTGATAAGGGGCTAAAGGAAAAAAATGAATGGTTAATTAGACCGTCAACTGACCATCATGCGTTGAATGTTGTACCTCAATGGTTCAATTTGACTCTTGCGTGGAAAAAAGGCAACATGTCGAGACCTGTGATCGTGAAATGGGATAACATATGATTGGTCAGTCGATATCTTGCTCTGTAAGTCACTTTTTCATATAGCTAGCAGCGCACGCGGGCAAGATGAAGTGAATCCTGTGTTCTGATCGGCTACCTGAGCGGGCATGATGGGCCCACCCTCGCCCGCTCGGGATTCCCTGTATTGATCCCACGCAGGAAAACTTACAAAGTTCGTAACTTTTGGACAATGTTTGCATATACATAGAAAAAAATAAACGACCCTCTTGGGTTTATTGTGCTGCAAACACAGTTGGCTTTCACTATCAGCTCTCGAAATAAACAGGCCTTTCTTGATTCTTATCAAAGCGAAATCTTTTGCTATACAATGAATCCTTTAATGATTAAGCCAAGAGAATATAAACTCTATTGACCAAGCTTGTATGGTCAAGATTACTGGATATTAGCCTCGTCCTTTTTCTACTTTTTAATGGACCGTGACTTCTTCTCAG